ATATTTTAAAGTGGCAACAACATTCTTGTGATTCTTGGTTTAATAAATTCAATTTAGTAGATTTTTATCCACCACTATTTCTAAATAATTCGTAGGGTTATATAATTAACCACTCTAAAGTAGTTATGTATTGCAATATCTTTTAAAAAGCAGGCAAAAATAGACAAATAATTGCAAAATTTACTTTGTACTTATTTACCGTATTTTTTATTGTATTGTCGTGTCCGGAGCAGTTGGCATCTCTGGCAACGCATATTAATATATAAGCTTAATTTTTGTAAGAATAGTGGTGATAAAAATGATTTAAAAATTAAATTTTTAAAAGAAAAAAATAGTATATATTTACGACGACTTTAAATATGAAAATAAAATCTCCCGCAAAATCCGGGAGAGTTGGCAGGTATGCTTAAGCGAATTAGGAAATGAGCCAAGAAGTTCTTAATCAGACAGAATTTGCTTAGGCTTCTTGCAAATTATCTTTAACCCTTTCGCGCCGACTGTCACAAATATGTGCCAGCATAAAACCGTATCAATCAGGGTAAAAAGATAAAACTGGTAATCAAAGTATTTCTTTAGCAGTTTATTTGTGGGCGGAGTTATAATTGCTTGATTTATTTAATTCACCATTACTTTGTTCAAAATAAAACTGTTTAGTTATACTTTGAATTAACATTGATTATATATATGATAAAACTAACAATAATTAAAGTAAAAGCAAAGTAAGTGTGTCAAATTAGCAGCGACAACATTTAAGTTACCGTTTTTTATTTAAATACAACTTGATTTTGATTTTGTACGAATGCTTTTCTGAATCGCCCGTCCCCAAGGGGTTAATAAGGCTTTTCATTATTCCAGACTTTTTATAAATGGAACAGGTGAATTAAGCAACGATTGATACTTTTTCTTATTAGTCTAAAATATATGTGCAGTTAAGATAAGAGTAAAGATAAATACATTAAGACAATAATTAAGACAATAAGTAAACATTCAAATTTCAGCACTTGTTTGCGCATTTATAGGGTCCATTATCCTTTGTGTCGTAGTGTAATATATCCTTTATTATACTTTACACTTGTCCATTTGCATGTATATTTTAAACAAGTACACATTAAAATTACTAATTAAATGAAAAACAAACGTTTTCTTTAAAATTTTAGAAAGCCAAGATTTGCTATGTAAGCTGAGAAACAGTAGGAGTAATTATGCTAAGTAAGTAAATTGCTACTTCATATATACTTTTAAAAGAAAATGGAAGATATAAACAAAGTAATTTGTATTTATTAGTACTGCTTCAAGCAGGCTTTATTGTCTTTTTTTTGCTAGGAATAAAATGCTGATGCACCAAAAAATGAACTACCCGGAGTATCTTTTGATCTAATGATCGGATCTTAACGTTCTAGAACTCATTTTTAATGGTTCGAGGGAGTGACCTCGAATGTGTTAATTTTGGTGCATACGAAATTTGCAGTTTCGAAATCAGACAAAATGCACTGTCTCTGAATAAACATACCTTTTTTCGCCGGATTTGAGTTTTCTACCCCCAAAATATGGGGGTAGACTCAATCTAGGAAATATGGTCACCATGGTTTGGCCAGGTTAGCGTTCTCAGGTTTGGACAAACGAAATGTTGATTTTATTACATATCTCGAGAACATTATGACTGAATTGAAAACAATTATAAAATTTGTTTGTCAGAAAGTAAATCCATAAAAAAATTAAATTTTAGAAAATTTTTATTATTTTTATATTATTTTATTTTTCAATGTAATTGTAAAATATACAATTTTTACATCATTTAAAAGTATCGTATATTACATGGGAGAATACAAAATTTGAGCAAAATCGGTTGAATAGTTCCTGAGAAATCGAATTTTAAAAATAATCGTAATTTTAAAATTTTATTTCCCAGCAACTATTCATCAGATTTCGCTAAAATTTTGTATTTTGCCTGGTACAGTTATTAACTTTAAAACTATATAAAAATTTATATACCTTACAATTCAAAAATTTTACGACAGTTATTAAATAAAATAATAAAAAATAGTACAAATTTACTGAAATTTATTTTTTACGTGGAATTATCTTAGGGTCAACGAATTTTATAATTGTGTGCAAAAATTTTTCAACTCGCTTTAAAAGTTCTTGAGATATGGCGAAGTACGAGAAAAATAAATTTAACATTAGGAGCTTCAAAGTTTGGATCGCTCTCCTGACAAAAGGGGACCATATTTTCCAGATTGCGGCTACCTTATATATTTAAAAGGTCTGAAATCCAAATCCGTAGAGAAAAAAAAAAAATTTCATTCAGAGAAAGTATGTACGTTTTTTGTGTCTGATTTTGTAATTTAAAATATCGTCTGCACAAAATAATTGACATATTTTAGGTAAGCCCCTCGAGCCATTAAGAATGAGTTTTAGAACGTGAAGATCTTAACATTAGATTGAAAGTTATTCAGGGTGGTCCGTTTTTTTTTATCGTTTTTTTCTGCGCACTATACAGTGTGCAAAAAGGTAAAAAAACCGATTAATTTCAGGTTCTAATGATTGTAATTTCGCTTATTAAGGGAGACATTAGTGGTATTAATTATCTCACTTAGTTAAAAATGAGCATGAATTAAATGACACGTTTACAGGTGATCCTAAACATGTTATTTAATTTATGCTCATTATTAGTATAGTGAGAAACCGCATCCAAAATATTCCTTCTTTAAACAAGCATACATTTCTTCAGAGAAATTAAGATTTTTGAGACTGAGTTGTTCATATTCGAACAATTAATGTAAAAGTTTTGTCAAACACTTTTGCTTGTAGTTATTTAAACTTAATTTAAAATAATGTTAAATTTGCACATTGTCTTTATGATTTTCAAACGGAAATATAAAACAACGAACATTCGAACGGAAACATCCAGATATTTTCCAGCCATGGTAAAATAATTTGAAACTTTTTAAATAACATTGGGGAACATTTTTTGGCATTTTTTTTAAAACTGGTATTAAATATTTTCATATCACTGGTTTCAAATCTGTCATTGGTTTTTCTCTCAAAACTAGTTTTTTATCACAATTTCTGTCTATTTTTGTCGAAAAGTTCAAGTTTATAAGCACGTTATATATGTGAGAGGGTCGCAAAACTAATGAAACAAACTGTTAGGGAGTTAGAGTTAAAATTAAAATTGCATGGGAACCTATGCTCGGGTGTGTCGTCATACGCCACTAGGAGCGCATTCCTACTATGAATTGATTTTAAGTATGCTTCTGAACAAGTTATAATATGGAAAAATAAATTTTATGCAATTTTAATCTCAATGATGTGTCCTAACCCCCTTAGAAATTTGTAGCATTATTTTTATGTAACTCCCTGTTATTTATAAGGTGTTTTTAAACTTGCACATTTCGACAAAAAGTAGGCAAACATTTTATTTTTTAAAAAGAATTTCTGTTACTATAGGAGCAAAACTAATTTAATATTTGAAATCCCCACACCCAAATTAAGCAAGATCAAGAATTGGTTCAAATTCAACAAAAATTTGTTCCCATTATAGTAATTAAAAGCTCCTTTTGCATGAATTATTTTGAATTTTCGTATTTCGGATAGAAAGTTTTAATAGTTCCCGCAATATTGCGAAATACACAAAGCGGAAAAATTAATTTAAGGAGCAAATTTTTTGGCCCTTCTCCTTCTTGTTTAAATTCTTGGGACCATATAATATACATTGCAGCTACAGCCTCGCTCCATACTCTATAAAGATGTATAAAAAATTTATAAAAATACATTGATGAAAATAATTTATGGAAATATTTTACAGAAATATATCTCCATATTTTATATGAAAAAAAGATATGTTCTAGAAATTGCATTTTTATGTCGGATTATGCATTTAATTAATCGAAAACACTAATTAATGAGGCCCCCCATTGAAAATTGGCCTTAAGTGCATGACAATATCTGATGTCTATAAAAAATGTTTTCCATTTTTATTATTCATTGTACAAAAAATATATACTTTGATCTGCTGCAACTTAGACCAACCAATTTTACCGGTTTTTAGCCAAAATTGACTTGTAAATATTGATTGTAGAAATATTGACTTGTTGTAAAACTTACATTTTAACATTTGATTTGAACAGGGGAATAAATTTTATTGCATTTAGTCAAGCTCTTGAACTTACTTTTCTACAAACTGTTTTAAGACAAAACATATGGCCTTAAAGTACCTCATAATAAACTGAAAAGTATTATCACATTTTTTCTGCCACTTCCTATGTAGAAGATAAGTGGAGACCCTCAGTATTCACTCAAGCCAATTTTAAAAAATCATGTCTTTTATGTCTTCTGAGGCTACGTTTGAAGACTTAACACTTTCCAATAATGTAAGAGTAAATGGTTGTTGATCAAGATGTCATATGACTCTCTCAAACTTATTTTACAAATGCTCAATACGATTTAGATTTATAGAATTCAGTGGTCAACACTACAAAGTGAAGTCTGTACTGTGTTCCTCAAAACAAATATTTACTATCCAAGTATTATAGCAGAACATAATATATTAAAAAAAATGAACCAGCAGTAGTAGATATATCACCAGCATTACCGGATGAACTTTGCCACAGTATTCCTTTTCAGACTTCAAGGAAATTATGGTCATAATGCATGTTTACATTTAATTAGATATCTTCGGCAAAAAAGTAAGGAAATATAAACATTAAAATATCGGGTAATCTTAGTGAAGAGGACGCTCAGTATATATTAAAAGGATTATAACGACCATTTATATAAGAGTTCTTGATACTGCTTCGCTTAGTGTATCGGAAATTAATTTACTGACTTTACTTTCAGAATTTTCTAAAGTACGTTATCTCTTCACCTTTGCTGGATTCCTTGGTTTCTTCACAATCTATACAATAAGAGTAAACATCAATGTAGCCATAGTTGCTATGGTTAACAGCACTGTTTATGTGCACAGTAACACCACGTCTGGAGATGAATGCAAAGTTCCAACAGATGACTTACCAATAAATTCATCTAACCATGATCAAATAAAGGTATCCATAAGACAGGTTTCTATTTTTATTATTCATACATATTTTCAAATAAAATATGTTTTATTATAAAAATTATATGTAGTTTTATAAAAAAAACTACTGCGTAAATCAATTAGCGAATTTTAGATTATTAAGATAGCAATGAACTACTTAAAAATTCGATCATTAAATCTAAATTTATAAAGGTGATCTTTTTTCATTTTGCTCAATGTATACTAATCCAGACTTATACAAATAGTATTTCACGAAAAAAAAAACACTAATTACTATTCACTTTCCCATTTTGTATTACAGGATGGAGAATTTTATTGGTCTCCAAGTTTGCAAGCCACGATTCTTGGATCTTTTTATTATGGTTATTGCGTTTCGCAGATCCCTGGAGGAAGGCTTGCTGAAATGTATAGTGGAAAATGGGTATTCGGAATTGGAACTTTTATAACAGCACTGTTGACTTTATTGACACCAATGGCTGCTCGATATAGTGTTGATGTTCTGATTGCTATTAGAGTTTTGGAAGGATTAGCACAGGTTCGAAGTTCTTGTTATACTTAGGTTATTTTTTTTTTGGCCAGAATCAGAATCGCTCCAGCATATTATTAGAAAAAAAATTGCTGAATATTCTTTTTAAAATATTTTTAAATTTAAATCTAATCCAAATTGTAAAGCTGAGTTCTGAGAATATGACAAAGAACTAAGTGAACATATTTCATTTTTCTGCTAACTAAAGATTTTCCTCGTTTCCCTCTCTATGTAACTCAAATGTGGATTAGTTCCTCTCAAATGATGTGGACTCAAATTTCTCTCAATGATTGATCCAATAGCTCCTTTGTCTTCTGGATTATGTTTAAAAGTACAAGGCTCTGGAGTTGAACATTATTAGTCGTAAACCCTAAATTAGGTCGGTTTTTAAAATTTCACAGATTTTGCAAAATTGCTAAAAAAATTATAAAGTTCATAACTAATGTTTCATTCAATACGTAATTTTTGACAGGGAATTTGTTTTCATAAGATTTTTAAAAATTTAAGAGATTTACAAAAATTGGCTGGTTTTTGAAATATTTTAAAATTTCAAATCTTTTACAAGAAATGAAGATGATGCATAAAAATTCTGAAAAATTCACGAGTGATATATTAATCCGTATACAAGTTTTGGGAGGTAGTGCTTCTCAATCATCGAAAACTTCTTTTTTTCGCTTCACCCTATTGCTTTGAATAAATTTTTGAACCTAAGTTGTTATTATATATATATTAATTTTTAAAAAAAACATCATTTAGGACGATTTAAAACTACTTCAAATAGCTTTGTATTTTTTACTACTTTTAATATATTAAAAAAACTTAAGCTGAAAGCCGAAGGGGTTTGCACATCTGAACCAAAGAATACTCTTTCTTACACATGGAACTTCATGACATAAAGATATTATATTCTCAAAAATATAAATGACCGTTAAAATATCTAATATTTTACATAAAATGTACTATTTTAATGCGGAATTACATTTTAGGGAGTGACAATGCCAGCTATGCATTCAATGCTAGGACGGTGGTTACCAGATTCAGAAAAAGCTTTTTTATCTACAATAATTTATTGCGGCATACATATAGGAACTGTAGTCACCTTATTCGTTTCTGGACTTCTGTGTGATTCAGAATTTCTTGAGGGCTGGCCATCCGCTTTTTATGTTTCAGGTATGTGTTATATTGCTAATAATTTTGCTCGTTTTTTTTTCTATTGTCCTAAATTTAAGCTTATTTGAAAATATTTTAACAAATACGTGCTTATATTTTGCATGATCTTACCAATCGGCGAAGCACTATTGCGTTTATCTTACCATTTTTGTTTTGAAACAATGCTAGATCATTCTTCTAGAGTTTTATAGGAGATGTTTATGGGAGAGGGACTATGTTTTGATGACTCCTTTCCTCAGCTGCCGCAAACGCGAACATGACTCTCTACGACTGATAAGAGCCCAATTTTAATATCGCCCAACTTTAACATAGTCAATAATCAAAAATATAGGGCATTATCAATATCACATGGATATTTGCATGTTTGATCCGCGATGGCTCAGAGGTTAGAGCATTCAGGTTCCAAAAAGGTGAACCCGGATCGAATCCTAGCGATATCTGGTCGATACAAATTCCGCATCCTGCCACAGCGTTGATGTGAAATGTCCTCAGTGGTAGACGGATCATGGGTTACAGTTCCTTTGCCATCAGGCTAACCGTGGGAAGTTTTCATGGTCCTCCTCTCCGTGTAATGCGGATTAGTTCCGCCAAAAAGTCCTCCACGAAGGCGAATTTCTCCCAGTCTTTTATCCAAGAGTTCGATTGTCTTCTGGAATGGGTTCAAAATTTGGGGAAATTTGGAATGGGCTACGGAGTTATACATGAATAGTTTTAAACACAAAAAAATTGGGTCGGCTGTTCAACGACGGTCATAAAATAAATATCACAATAATCACACATAGCTGCCAACTACTACGTAGTGTCCATACAATTTTCTTTTTATATATAAAATGGTAATGAATCTTATAAATTTCTTTTTAAATCTTGGATATCTAAATTAAATTTAATATGATTTTTACTATCATTACATTAATATAAACCAATCTTATATGTAAGAGCAAGTTATAGAAATGAAAAGCAAGTTAAGCCATTATAAAGGTCAAGCCATAGCAATTGTGAAATGTTAATTTTGTCCAAAATTGCATTTCAATTAGTCATTTATTACTTCTTGGGAAATACTTCCTCCGAAAGAATAAAAAATGGCAGATTCATGATTTTTTTCCAATATCGCTAATTTATGTAGTTACATCATTTACCAATATTTGTCGTAACCTTCGTATTCTTAGATATTAGAAAGAACTATGTGCATATTTTGAACAATGATTTTATTACAAATAAAATTATAAGGGAGAAAAAATTCAAAATTTAAAATTCAATTTCAAAAGTTTTCTTTAGTAAATGTTCTATGTCACTATTTTTTCTCTCTGCTATAAAATAAATTAAATCACTTGCTCTTTTTTAAAATCTTTTGTTTCTTTGAAATAACTTTTTATCTCAATAGAGCCTTGACAAACAGAAAAATATCTTTTCATTTCAAGTTTTTTTTTACAAATTTTGTTTTCAGGTATTTTGGGCTGTGTCTGGTTTATATTATGGAGCCTTTTCGTCACGGACTCCCCTCACACACACCCTTTTATCACAAAGACGGAACTGCAATTTATTACTTCCGATCAAAAAATTAAATCCAACGTGAAAGTAAGTACTAACACATATTTTTCTTCTGAATAAGTTCTAGACGACTTATAATTATGGAAGTGGAAATGCGCTAACTGAAGAGAAAAATTATAACAAAACTTTTACACCTTTATTTTCCTTTTTTAATTATCAACTTTACGATTAATGTTTCGAATCACTTTCTTTTTCTTCATTCATTACTGGCCAGTCTTGAGAATGGAACACTGGAAACACGTCATCATCTTCATATTTTTTGAAGCCATTGATGTTTCAAATCTAGTGTATATTTTCCCTTCAGCTGCGGTGCCAACTGCTGCGGACACGCGAAAAAAAATTTTAAATAAAAACGGAAAATAACTACAAAGTAAAATTTGACTATTTTTGCTTGCTTTTTAAAAGGTATAGCATGACATTAATACCAACAAGTGGTGAATTATATAAGCCTACGAATTATTTGGAAATAGTGGAGAAATCTACTAAATCACAGAGTTGCCAACTTGCTCCGGATAGCAAATATATATTGTAAAGTGGTAGTTTATCAATTGTGATTCTTTGTTTAATAAATTAAATTTAGCAGATTTTTATCCACCACTATTTCTAAATAATTCGTATGCTTATATAATTCACCACTATTTAAACGGTACTTTACTTCAAGTCATGCTATACCTTTAAAAAAGCAAGCAAAAATAGTCAATTGTTTGCAAAATTTACTATGTAGTTTTTTACCGTATTAAAATTATTTTGGCGTGTACGGAGCAGTTGGCATCTCTGAAACTGAATATGTTAAGCCAAGAATCACATTTGATAAACTACCACTTTAAAATATTTATGCTGTCTTGAGCAAAGTTGACGTCTCTGCCTCAGCTTCAAGAATATAATAATTTTAGCCAATTAGCGTATTACATACTTGCTAACTTGTACGCTCTAAGAAGCTTTTGCTTAGTGATAGTAAAAAGAAATTTAAATGGACACTATAAGTAGAAAAGAATTGATTAATTAGCCCTCTCTTATTAACACCAAACGACGTGAATTAGAACTTAAATGTGTATGTTTAAGTTAATGATCTGTAATCAAAGTTATTTTAAATCAAATTAAAGTAAAATAAATTTGAGAAAATAAAATATTCCTGAAGGGAAAATGAGTTCTAAGTTCAAAATGTGTTTCAAATATTTTCCATCTGAACAGAGATGCTAACTGCTCTGCTTTCAGCAAAAATTTAAATAAATTGATAGAGAAATAAGCAGTAAAATATTCAGAAATCTGTTAGCAACGTTTACATTTTATTATTTTGAATGCCATGGAAATAATACATGGGGGTACCGTTGACCGGCAATGAGTTTGTTCGTAGTCCCTCGGGTGTCACCGGTGACCGGAAAAGCCAAGATTATTAGAAACACCTAATTCGAGTAAATTTTTAATTTTTTCTTATGTCATTATCCTTACTAGAATGGTTTGAAGAATTTAATGTAGTATAGAACACACGAAAATAGTTTTAATCAAATAGTTTTAACACAGAGATGCCAGTTTGCTCCGGACAGCGAATAGCTATTTTCAAGTGGTAGTTTATAAGTTGTGATTCTTGGTTTAATAAATTCAATTTAGTGGATTTTTATCCACCACTATTTCTAAACAATTCGTAGGCTTATATAATTCACCACATTTGTTCTGATATGTCATCATACCTGCCAACTTTTAATCCCTTCCATTATCATTTTTCCCAGTGGTATTAAAATGGAATTAAAACTTCAATTTTAAGCAAACAAACACGTTGTATTTGAGAAAACTTAAGATGACAACCATGATAGTAACGCATGTTATTGTATGTGCTTAACTTCTGTAAGAATAGTGGTGATCAAAATCATTTACAATTAATTTTATAAAAGAAAAATTAGTATATATTTACTACCACTTTAAATATGAAAATAAAATCTTCCGCAAAATCCGGAAGAGTTGGCAGTAATGTATCATGCTAAACTTTTTAAAACAATTAGCAAAATCTGTCTATAAGTACGTATAGTTTGTAGTTATTTACTGTATGGCCAGACGGGCAAACCACGCGTTAAATGTGTCACATAATATTTTTGATCTGTTGTGGTGGAAAACTATTTACATCGAAAATGTTAACCGATAAATAACTTAAATTCTAAATCACTGTAAAATATTTAGGCATCACTGTTTAACACGTTCACGCCGCGGTGACCCACCGGTGAGTCACGCTAGATTGTCTCATCTTGGCAGCGCACCGGAGTAAAAACTGGTAACAATAAATTTCATTTTTTAGTTTTTTTCCGGGAATAATAAAAATCCATAACTACCAATTGTTTTTAACGGATGCAATTTTTATATTGAATTGCTTCTTCATGATAAATATCCTTACAGTGAATTGTGATTGTTGAGAATTGATTAACTCCTCCCGAATATTATCTAATATTGAAATAGTTCTTCTACCAGTATTTTTACTTTTCCCGGTGTGAACTTCTTAAATACTTTTAAATTATATTGTATATCATACCTGCCAACTTTCACTCTTTCCGAGAATTTATTTTCAGAGTGGTTGTAGTACGAAAAACAATTTGGCTCAAAAACATATTTATATTTTGATCCCGTTGAAATTCGCTTGGTTAAAGAATATTGTGCTTTTATATATTTATTGTAATTATATATATGTAGTGGTGGTCAAACTCATTTATAATTATCATTATAATTCAAAAAGTTAATTGGAATAACATGAGTATTGCTACCACTTTAAATATGAAAATAAAATCCGGAAGAGTTGGCAGGCATAGTATATACATATTTCATAAATTAATTAATACCTCAGTTTAGTATAAAACAAAAGTACAGCAGCAACTCTCTCTCTCTCTCGACACATAAACAGATATTTATCAAATTTGGCACACAAATTTTTAACAGTTATTAGAAGTCTGTGTGAAAAGCTTGCATTTTTACTTCTGAATATTGAAAAAAAATTTACCTTTTAATCTTACCTGAAACTGCAAATAACTAGATACTGTCTTTATTATAATAAATTAATATAAAATTGCTGTTTCAATTCCATACTTCGATAAATTTAAAAAAAAATAATAATAATTTATCTTTTATGTAAATAATTCCTACAAGTATTAACTACAAGGGGAAAATAAGCTGTACTGTTTTTATTTTTAGATAACTTTTTTTCTAACTGACTATAATATTAAAAATGATTAAAAACGTCATTTTCCATTTACATTTAAAACAACTTTGAAACATAATTTATAATAATCAATAATAATTAATGTTTATTGATATTTTGGTTATTTTAACTACAATATTACCTAAACCAATATTTAAACGATAATTTTTCTTTTTTTTTTAATTTGATTTTATTCAAAATAAACCAATTAAATTTACATATCAGTGTAGCCATATACTGGAGAAATTCATGGGAAAAAGTTGTTGAGCTTTCAGTAAATTTCATAAACTTTGGTTGATAGTAATTAGTAAAGACATTTTGTTTTCCCTCAGTTTTTCTACCAGTTTTTAAATTTTTCTGATATGTGGCATGCACTTTTATATCTTCCAAAGTTCTTGCTTAACAGATACTTAACAATTTATTTTTCTATTCTAGCTTCCCTCAATTCCATGGCGAAAAATTTCGACGTCACTTCCGTTTTGGGCGCTGGTCATCGCTCAAGTAGGAGGAGATTGGTGCTTTTACACAGTACTCAATGACTTACCTACCTATTTCAGTACAATACTCCATTTTCCAATTAAGCAGGTACGTTTATCTTAAATTTACCCATTTAACGTTTCTATTATGTTTTATTACCCCTTTTGTTGTCATTTTTCATTTTGAATAATATCTTTGTAGTGGTGCAGTTGAGAAACTAAATACAAAAATCGCTCAAACCTAATTTACTTAAAATCTATTTGAATTTGACATGCATTTGGAATAAACTTAAATTAAGAACAAACTTTCATGGATAAAGTTTAATAATTTTTTAAGAATCCCAACAAATTTAAAAATAAATCATTCTACTGTAATCACTGCCTTAATGTGATCACGGTTAATGTTATCGATAGCTTATTCTGGCCTGTCAACAATTACGCTTTTTGCAAAATACTTTATTGAGTGGTAGAAATTTAAGAACCAAAGCTTTCAGAACTCATGGTAATTTTGCCAACATTTCAAAAACCTCACCACGAAAGAGGTGGATAAAAGTGGTGTTGCATATAAACTTCTATATCATTTCTACGGAGCAAAGTGTGGAAAAGTTTAAATAAGTAAAATATGCATTAACCTCTTGGGGACGGGTGATTCAGAAAAGCATTCGTACAAAATCAGGATCAGGACGTAATTAAATAAAAAACGGTAACTTAAATGTAGTCGTTTCTAATTTGACAGGCATACTTTGTTTTCGTTTTAATTATTGTTAGTTTAATCATATATATAATCAATGTTAATTCAAAGTATAACTAAATAGTTTTATTTTGAACAAAGTAATGGTGAATTANTGGTCATCGCTCAAGTAGGAGGAGATTGGTGCTTTTACACAGTACTCAATGACTTACCTACCTATTTCAGTACAATACTTCATTTTCCAATTAAGCAGGTACGTTTATCTTAAATTTACCCATTTAACGTTTCTATTATGTTTTATTACCCCTTTTGTTGTCATTTTTCATTTTGAATAATATCTTTGTAGTGGTGCAGTAGATAAACTAAATATAAAAATCGCTCAAACATAATTTACTTAAAATCTATTTGAATTTGACATGCATTTGGAATAAACTTAAATTAGGAACAAACGTTCATGGATAAAGTTTAATAATTTTTTATGAATCTCAACAAATTAAAAAAAATATAGTTCTACTGTGATCTCTGCCTTAACCCTTTAACGGACCCTTTATTTTTAGCAAAGGAAAATTAAAGTAATTTTGGAATTGAAATTGCTTTAACCTTCCGTTTGTCGCGCGCACCTCACAGGTGCATCCCTACTGCACTTCCACCTCTTTTGCAGTCAATAGATTTTTCCGGGGGTCGAGCCTAATGTTATGTTCCTAACTTTGGATTACTCAAATGTCCGTGTAAAACCGACCTTAGAACATGTCGATGGAGAGTTGGAACCGCTCAAATCACCCCTCTGGTGTAGCGCGACCATTGACGCAAGTATTATGGATATAATATTTTTATGAATTAAATATATATATTTTATCTCATTTTCTGTCCTACTCAACGTAGCAGGAATAAATGGTCAAGTTATATACACAGAAAATGTTTACGGAGTAAAACACCGCAGAACCTTCTTGCGTCAATTGGTTGAACATCTTGTGATGAAGGAAAAGATCCGACGCGGGAGCAAGAAAAATTTATCTTCGGTACTTCGCTAAATAAGTTTTTTGATATTTATCTCTCTAAAGAGTCTAAATTGGTAACAATTAACTATTTAAACTAGACTTAATTTCATTTGGCTTTCAAAAAATCAGAAACACCTCATAGGTGCAACGCGATTAACCATGTCGGAAACAAGTGCGCGACTAACGGAAGGTTAAGAATAGTTATTGATATATATAAAAAAAAAACTCATTTAATTTATAAAAATGCCATTTTTTTGGTGGTAAATATATTTAACATGATCTATTAGGAACTTACTGACTTTTATTTTTCTTTATTTATAAAATAAATTCCTTAAATGCTACAAACTTGAAAAGGAATTATGTATTTTATAACTTTTATACGTTTTTTAAAAGTGACAAATGGTTACCAATTTAATGCAAACTCACGTCAAGAAAGCTGAAGTTATTGAAAAATGGAAACCTAAATTAAAAGTGGTAAAACGCGGTGGTAAGTATACTCAACACAGCCTTGGAAAGCGTTAATACACGGTTAATGTTATCGATTGCTTATTCTGGCCTGCCAACAACTACGCTCTTCGCAAAATACTTTATTGAGTGGTAGAAATTTAAGAACCAAGGCTTTCAGAACATGGTAATTTTGCCAACATTTCAAAAACCTCACCACGAAAGAGGTGGATAAAAGTGGTGTTACATATGAACTTCTATATCATTTCTACGAAGTAAAGCGTGGAAAAGTTTAAATAATTAAAATAAAAATATGCATTAAAGCATAAACATAGCTACCACTAGTATAAGTTTTTACAAACAGCGTTGAAAGTTGGCTAGCCTGCTTATTGATATCAAAATAATTTGATCCGAATTTCTTCGATTTATTTGTATGTTAAAATTATCAATTTCTTTCATTATTAAATTGTTTAATATATTATCAGTTTCTTTTTATATATTTTTCGAAAATCATCATCAGGTGCTCCGTGATAAGTTTCTTCAAGTTTCAGAAGAACTGAATGTTATTTGAACCGATAACGAGCATGTCGATATTTTATGTCTTGTTTGCTTGAATTGAGTTTCACTATATAGATATCAAAAAGCAAACTGATTAAACATTAAAACAAATGACTGACATTTTAATTCGTTATGACATTGACCAAGCATGAGGAATTCAATTAAAGTCTTTAACACGTTGAATACCTCGCTAATTTTACATGGCTTGCCCGTCTAGCCAAATGGTAAATAACTGCAAACTAAATTTGCAAATATTAAACAGATTTTGCTAGATTTTAAAAGGTTTACGTAGATGCCAACTTTCTCCGGAGAATGAATTAATATTTTCGAGTGGTAGTTAATAAATTGTGATTCTTGGTTTAATAAATTTAATTTATTACGTCTTTATCCACCACTATTTCTAAATAATTTGAAGGCTTTTTTAATTCACCACTTTTCTATATTACCGTCATACTATACCTGTCAGAACAGTGTTTCCTAAACTTATGACTTTTGTGTACCCTTTCTAAATTTTTCGTAACGCTGTGTACCACTAATTAAAAAATGAATGTATTTTTTACTAAAAAAAAATTTGCACAAAAGTTAAAAATCAAAACTGGCTGTTGACACCACTAATTATTAACTGTTAACTCTGCAAAAAATATCAAATAGAAAAATACGTAATCGTAAATTTTCATGGCTAGCTTTTTTAATTTTTTCGTTTATTGCAAGATATTTCATATAAGAACGCGCACCCTCGCTAAACTGTTCCCACTGTGTACCACACTTTGGGAAACACTGTTTTAGAAAGTAAGCCAAATTAGTCAAATATTTTGAAATTTTGATTGTATTTACTTACCGTTTTCAAAATAATTCTGATTTGTTTGGAGCAGTTGGCATCTCTGATAATATCCAAAGAAAGTGGTGAATTTGATAAGCCTACGAATTGCTTAGAAATAGTGGCTGATACAAATCTACTAAGTTGAATTTATTAAACCAGGAATCACAATTAACAAACTACCACTTGAAAATATTTATTCGCTGTCCGGAGCAAGTTGGCATCTCTGTGTTGGCATCTCTATTTTTGTGTGTTCTATATTGCATTCATTTCTTCAAACCATTTTAGTAACGATAATAATATTTAAAAAAATTTACTCGAATTATGTGTTTCTAATAACTTTGGCTTCACTGATCACCGGTGACACCCATGGCATTCAACGTATAATAAAACGGTGGTAAAGAAATATGAAGTGTTGAAATTTAAGTACAATTACGCTCCGATGATTTAATGACTACGAACTTCTATGATTAATCTTCTTCGAAAAAAAATTTTAGACAATCAACAATTGATGTTTTTCATAATTGGGTATAATTTTTATATTTTTAAAGTAAATATACAATACATAAGTAGGTTTATTTTGTTTGATTAATAAATGGTTAATGTTATCCAAATCATTATGATCCACATTAAGCGAAGAAAACTGTAATTCAACTTGTAAGCGTTACATAATTCTAAATTTAATTTCTCTCACACAGTTTATCTTATGCTGATATAGATATTTATTCCACGACACAGAAGCATCTCACTATACTTACATTTTTAACTGGTCTTACGAATTAATTTCAAAATTTAGTTTTCATTTTAAAAACATTTTCAATAACCATTTGATTTTGTTGCGTTAAGTTTCTAACTGAACTAAAACTTACGTAAAATAAAACTGCATGGTAAAATAAACCTGAAAATGAAGTATAATAACCATCAAAAGTTTAAAGAGGGAAAAATTTAAACCTATTTAAACTTTTGAAGAAATTACGCATTAGAGTGCAGTACACTAAGCAATGTATAAGACTGTATAATCTATTCAACTTTACTTTACCAACTTTACTAAAGAAAAATATTCTGCAGTAAAGTACGAGTATTATTTCAAACCCTGATCTTCTTTTACATAACTGTAATGCACTATTATGTACCGTTACCCCTCTAGCTGTGATCTCTAAATTTAACTTTAGTAACGGTTACCCAGGTTATACAGTAGGCAAGTATCGAATGAATTACAGGAAACTCTTAACATTTAAAACTCATTTTTATTGCAACTCTAAATCTTCAAAAAACATAATTCTACACATTTCCAAATGCTAACATGAGAATAAACACTTCCCTTTATACATTAATTAAAACAACATGCAACCTTAAAACACTCAAGCATAAACTTCAATTCATACAGTTAAAAAAAAAAAACATTTAAGAAATAAAAACTGCATTTAACATTACTAAAAACACTTAAGACTTGGTTTGTGATGTCTATAAATCACACTTAAATACTCATTGTTCTCCTACCCAAAAAACACAACATAAACAATTCAGAATTTACGGTAAATGATTCCTCTAAAATTTTAACGAAATAAAATTTAAAGTTTTATAAGTACCCAAAAGAATTTACTGTTCGCCCTCTGGAAACGCCCACCGGAATGGTAGATGAGCTCGTGGACAAACTCCTCGGCTAGGATCTCAAAATCTCTCCAGCTATTCTACTAATTTCATTAGGCTTAGGCATGTAGAAGGGGAACACCGGACTTCCAGCATAGATACGTTCGGACTTGGCCCACCGTCTCGAAGATATCGGCCTTCGGCAAATCACGGTCGTTCTTCACGTTAGAGACTTCAGTTTAGCTTTCCTTAACTTCACGATCCACCATCTTCGAGGTGCTGTCACGGACCACCTTTCCTGCGGACAAGCTCCGTATCCTCCGGGTTACTGCTTTAGCCACCCTCTTCACCTCTCTTTTATCCTCCCTTCAGCAAGGCGAAAGAATCTAGATTGACCTGTTTACCAAATCCAGAGTCATCCCGCATCCGGCGGACGTCAGAACCAAAAAAAAAAAAAAGTCCCTGAGAAAAAGCAGTCATAAACCCACTAATCCCCTATAGAAGTTATAATACCATCCTCAATAAATATTAATAAATTTAGTTACCCAGATTTCACCCCAAAAATCCCATTTTAAACGACTAATTCAAAATTTCCAAAAAAAATATCATTATTATGATTGAATTTAAATTTTACCATAGTGGTGCCATCTACAGAAAAATAATCTATCTTTAAAAGTATTGAAAAAAAAACTATAATAAATTTCTATTTATTGCAATTATACATAATTGTGTAAAACTATTGATGAAACAAAGGAGTAGAATAGAAGGTGAAAGTGCATGTAAGTGAATTAAAAAAAATTGTTTAAAATAATATTTTCTGCTACAATAAAAAATTAATTCTGAGTACAATTACTCATATGATAATGTCTTTGTCTATAGAATGGATTTCTTTCGTCATATCCTCACCTGATTCAACCAGCAGTTGGAATCCTTGTTGGATTTACATCAGATACTCTTTTGCGAAAAAAAATTGTTTCCACGAACTTCGTTCGCAAATTTTGTACAGCCGTGTGTAAGTATTCAGGCCGATTTTTTTTTTTTTTTTTACTGTCAACTGCTAATTTTATTAATGCAAATTGTTTTCGAAAAGCTATGTTACTTCACAGATATTAGCAAAAGAAAAAATTCTTTTACTCCGTTTGCAAAGTGTACAATAAATTTGGACTTTTCGCTTTTCCCCCGAGGTCATTATGTTTTCAGTTCACCTCTCCAGACATCAGAGAATCATTAAATTTAAATCAAATATATATATTTCACCTTTAAATTTTTCTAAGTATTCGTAAAATTTACGTGAAACTGAAACTTCAAATAATAGCAAAAAATGGTTTTCCAAAAAACGTAAAATTCTCCTAAAATAATATGAAAATAAATTCGTTTTTTCTCATTACGAAAATTTATCCAACTGTTTTTTGCTAGGTAAGAATGAGTACGTTATTTTTACATAATATTTACGTCAACAATGCTTCAAAATGTACGTGACTTGAAACTATACAAAAAAGTGGTTATCCTAAAAACAGAAAATTTGCGTGAATAAATTCGTGCTGAAATTTACCGAAATTTGAATGGTAAATTTGCTGCGTCAATAATACATAAAATACACACAGATTCATTTTTACTTAATCTAAATAGTAAATATTCTTTCATCAAATCTTTCGTAAAATATTTTAAATCAATCTTACCGAAGGGTAGTTGGTAAAATCTATTCCATTACTATTACGTAAAATATGCCAAAAAATTTTTACCAAACATCTCAATGGTAATATCATTCCGTCAATATTACGTGAAATTTTCGTATAAAGCGCATTGGCTTTTCCGATTTCCCAAAAATTTACGTACCATACTGCATGTATTGTTTGTACAGTACGTCTTTATAATGTCTGCGTCAGATCTGAATCCTGCCAGACGTGAATCAGAATTCCGTTTACGTGTTCCGTTAGCTCTGACTTTTCAGTTATTCCTTTTCCTGTAATAGCCTCTTGGAGGAAAACAATTCACGACTATGATTAAGTCATAACTGTAATTGAAATGTTATTCCGAAAACAGTTCTATGGTTGCGGAAAACAAAAGCTTGAACCCAGACTTAACAAATGCTTTGAGAATGGTGTCAATTATGTCGAAAAATTAGGCATACACATACTAGTGACATGTATTGTGCACTTAATCAATTAAAAAATTTTCAACTAATTATGCGTAACTGTATCTACATTTATCGAAAACGCCTCTCAATGGACTGATCGTTAAGACACGGCTCCCAGCAGATCACCGAAGTCAAGCATCACTGGCTGCAGTCAGAGTGCGGGTGGGTGACCACTTGGATAAGTCTACGTAAGGACCGAGGGTGTGAGGTATTGGTCCTCGTTAAAGCTCTACCGTAAAGTGATCGACTTCGCGTGCAGGTCGCCGGTCTACCGAAGCGGGGGTGCCATCCCCTCTGCAGAGGATCAAAATTGTGATGGCATGTCTTCGAATCATCCCCAGGGATGTTTCCGCGACCGTCGCCAATAGCCCATTGTGCAGCTCTAGTGCGACGCAAATGAACAACAACAACGGACACACCCCTATAATTTACATTTGATTACTTTGATCGAGTAAAATAATTTTTTATGAAATGTTTTTAGGTGGATTCGGACAGACATTAGCTTTTATTGGCGTATGCTTTGCGGGATGTGACTTTACACTGAATGTTGTTTTCTTTACGTGTGCTATTGTGATTGGTGGATTTTATTACAGTGGATACAATTTGACCCATTTAGATTTATCTCCAGAATATGCAGGTAAAATTATAGAGATTTCGTTTAAAATATTCTTTAGATTTTTTTTAAATATTCACCATAATAAGAAAACAATTGTTACTCAACAGCAAATTAAATTTCACTGCTTTACAAAATTTTAATGAGGTTTTTTTTAATTATTATTTTCAGGGTGGTTCTGTTTATTTTTTTTCCACGGAAACTTGGAAGTTATATATTTTGGGAAATTTTGAGGGGCAAACGGGCACAATTTGAAAGACTCTCTTATAACTCTTGGATAGAAGGTCCTTTTTACTCATGAAAAATTTTGATCCATCGAAATGAGTTTTGGAATTTAAAATCTTTTAAATTTTGCCAAGAGTTTCGAAATGTAAAATTTTCGAAAACATTTGGTACTAAAAAAAGATTGTTTACATAGAAATATATCTATATTTTTGACCAACCCATGTAGCTGTATGTGTTATTGTGAATGGCCGAAATTGGTGATTATTGACTTCCACCGGTGAATGTTGACAACCACATAATCACTTTGCTAAATGTCCGAAATCTATACTAGGTCTAGTTAAGTGCCAATGCCCGTTACGTCTTACATAAATGTTTTTTAAGGTTCAGTGCCACTGCCCAGCATGCATTTAACTGGTACTCCAAACACTGATGTTTCTCCTAATCTATCCTCAGCAGATATTAAAATATCGAATAAATATAATAATATCAACGAATAAACTAATATCAAATCGGATAAACAAATTTTTCAGACATTCACCAAAGCGACTATATGATTGTTCATCTCAGAAAATCGACATTCTCTTGATTTCTCTCATTCTCAGTAACATATACACATTGAGAAACCAATATTTATACGTGTTATTTACCTTTTATTGATGATCTCATTTAGGAACTTTGATGGGAGTTACAAATACTCTTTCAAACATACCTGGATTTTTGGCACCTTTTGTTGTGGGAGCTTTGACTGAACACCAGGTGTGTATAGCTGAATGAATGGTAGTAAAAGAATAAAAAGCCTCACTAGCAAATTTTTTGAAATAATAAAGTGATGGCAAGATGCTGATTAAAAACATTTGATATTTTCATGTTTTAGTTGTCATTTCGATTTTAAAAAGTATACGAATGTTAAACTCACATTATATGCAATTGGGTACTTACAACTCGAGAAGAAATGATTAAGCCTAACCACGTGATTTACATCAAATTTAATTGGATGCCTGTAAGCGATGTCACGGGTGTGTGTCGAACCTGATTGGTTTTCTGCATCAAAAAATATCCCGACTTATCTGTGGTGACGTAATTTTCAGGTACCTAGTTAAATTTTGAATCACATTCAGTATCTAGTAAATTTTAAATAATATTGAGTATCTAGTAATTTTTGACTCATATTCAGTTATACCGAAAAATGATTGAAAGTACAGAGATCTTGCCACCACTTTTTTTTATTCCAAATCTGAAGTGCGAATTCTTTAGGACTCTTAAGTAAAATATTACTATGAGAAAAAAAAAAAAATTCCGTTCAATGATACGTTGAACTGATCTTAACTATTTTCAATCTTTTTATTTTACCAGCTACATTAACATTATTTTCTGTAATTAAATAATGTAATCTTACCATGATAACTTATAATTCGGTATGTATGATAGAATTATTTAAATATAATCATTTAGATATAACTATTTAAATATGACAATAATTTTAAATGCTTTTTTTAAAAATAAGAATCAAGTAGGTGAATATAAACATTTTACTACCACGTTGAAAATAAAAATTTTCGAGAAATCCAAAAGTGATAGAAGTATTAGCATTATAATTGCGTAAACGTTATTATCAAACAGGAAAAATGCACCTCAGTGATTACCACGGGCTAACATCTTGCCCCTTATATAAGTTACCATACCATACTAACATTACTGCTTGGAGATTATACACTTATCATATCACATCATTAACTTTTAGCCATTAGGTTTGGTAGATGAAAAACTACCACTATAATGCCAGGCCACGTGTGTTTTTTCTCACCACACCTAACTCATGGTGCACACGTTCTGGTTATTTTATTCACTCACATAACAAGCAAATATGCCTTACAGTAAGGCAACGGATTTCCCCACTCTAAAAAAGAGTTTATCAACTCATTGGGATAATCAGCATTCTACCAGGAGCTTTACAACCACCTCCTCAGCTCGTGAACATCAACAGAATAATTTAAAAACATCAATTTTTATCATCTAACCCAGTATGTTGCCACCATACAGTATTACAAATAGTACAAATTAAATTTACGACCAAAAATGAAATATATAAAATTAAAGGTTTATATTATATCTATTCTTAGTTAAAATTATAACATTTAACAATAAAACTTAATTATTCGCGATCGCAACGAACTATAAGGGGCGTTGTTGCATGAGACGCATACCTGCGATTTCTATATGAACCGTCATTCAGTTACTCTGGAGACGTAGTTAATGTAGCGTGTAGCATTGCAACGTTCCTTCTTTAATGTGTCTTATTAAATTTAAAAAAGAAAAATGCTTGATATTCTTTCTTGTACAACCGAAAACAAAATGGTATCTCTTTTTATTAGAGAAGGAATATCCAAAACACATCGGAAAAATATTTGTACATTAACAGAAAAAAATATGTATATTCTTATAAGAGTTAAAACCTAATGCCCGAGAAATAGTACAGTAGAGAACCGATTATCCGGAACGATCGGGAGTATCGCTATTCCGGATAACTGATTTTTCCGGTTTTCTGAATCGCTACAAAAAGCCGTTTTTTTTTTAGTGTTAAACCCAACTAAAAAAAATTTTTTTTGGAAATAATCTTAAAAATGAGAAAAAAACGATGAGGTAATACACTAATAATTATTTCTGAAATGATGGTAAGGTAAACATCTTTCAAAAAAGAAAGAAAAATCCTAAAATCTTATGAGGNTAATTATAAATTTTAAGACTCATGCTGCCACCTATTGGCACAAAGATAAATTAAAAAAAAGAAACTGTAAATGAACTTTATCAGTACAGAAAAACTTTGAAAAATTTAATAGAATTTTTTATAGATATATAGTGTTCTTACACTTATGACTTTTAGGGCTCTATCCAAAAGTTAAAATGAATAATTTAGATAGGGTATCTAATAATAAGATCGAAATTATAAGAATATCTAATAAGAAAAAAATTTTAGGTTTTACTTCGCAATATTGATGTTAAGTAAATCCCAAAAGCATCTATAAGACCATGGAGGCTATGGAATAGATTGGATTCTCCTTACAATTGGGAGAATCGGGTTCGAATCCCAGCAATTGTTGGTCGATACGAATTTCGCACACTGCCAGTGACCACAGTGTTGACGTGAAATATCCTCAGTGGTAGAGTGATCATAGGTTAGAATCCACTGGCCGTGAGACTATCCGTAGGAGGCTTTCTTTGTTTCGCTCTCCTTGTAGCGCAAATCCGGTTTAGTTCCGTCAAAAAGTTCGTCCGGTTACTCCCAATACTTGATTCAGGAGTTTCCTTGTCATCTGGATTGGGTTCAAAATTACAAGGCAACGAAGATGAACATGAGTAGTCGAAAACCCAAAATTGAATCGGCTGCTCAAAGATGGTTATAAAATAACAAAAATAACAATAATAAACTTATCTATGATGTTCTATTGACGGATTAAAGCAAATTGAACTCTTCTGGTTTCGATTTATAGTATGGAGAGGAAAGAATTGAGGAATTTAATCCAAAAAAATTTAGTAAGAGCAGTTAAGCATGGTGATGGTGTCCTTGCTTGTGTGTTGGTGCATGTCGGAATAAAGTAGTTTGAAATTTATTGATGGGTTATGAATCAACCTATTTATTTAAGTATTTAAAGATACGATATATAATTATCTGCTGAATTTGGATATTGGTGACAACTTTGTTTTATGTTAAGATAACTATACTCAACGTTTGCATATCTTATCTTATAACTTTTTTCTTGTTTTCTCTATATTTCAAAACTTATTGTATGAGGTCTATGTTCTTGCAGCTTATACATATATATAAATATATTATTTTCATGTTACAGCAAACATTGCACCAGTGGAAAATTGTATTTGGAATCGTAATCGCTGTTTTAATCGTCAGTTTTTTGTTTTACGTTATTTTTTCCTCAGCTGAGAAACAAGATTGGATTGCCGAAGAAGAACAGAAATCTATATTAGATTTTTCTCAAGAACCTTCTGCCCAGAATTCTTCGAATGAAAGAAATGAAGAAAAAATTAGAGTACAAATGTGAAATAAAAGAATATTATTTATTTTTATAAATTAATAAAAGAAATTTTATTCTTATTAGCACAGGCATTTCTAGGAATTTCAACATAAATTTAATTAAATATTAATTTTGAATAATCGTTTGTTCATTTAGATTTAGTCTTACTTAATGCAGTGGTTTTGAGCTACCTTTATATAGTACGAAAAAAACAATTTAAATTTTAGTTAAAATAGTTGAATGGAGCCCAATATATTAGTCATGCAATGAAACGTAATGCCTACTTTTACAATAACAGCTTTGTCTAGATTTACGAACATGTTTAAATTAATAACGTAAATGCTAATTTTACGAACGTCATTTTCCAGCGGATAGTTACGCTTTAATAATACATTACTCTGACATTAAAAAAGATGCAAAATTGCTCCGCTTTGAAAAAAATTAAGTTAAATTTAGTTTTGGTTACCTTACGTCCATAGCAAATTTTATTCTACTGTCAAAGTGTCAAGCAGTTTAGCCACTGAAAATTCTGGCCAATATGAAATTTTTGATACTTTTCCACTTTATAAAAGCACTTTAGCTGCAACTGGAGAAGTTAGCCTCGCTGATGTTTTTTAACCATTATCACATAGAAACTTTTGAAAAATATTTAAGACCTTTGAAATTTATGCCTCAGGTCTGTAAAAGCAGGACTGCTAACTATTACGTTTATTGCAAAATATTTTAGAGTGTGGTAGGCAAATTCGGATAATTTTGTTTGCGTACAAAAAAGCCTCACAACGACAGGGTTGGAACAAATTGGCATTTCATGTGCACTTTCAAATCCTTTACATGGTGTGAAAAATAACTTTAAAGCAAATTTTTTCAACTAAGAATCCTACACTAAAGCTTTAATTATACACTAAAATTTAACAGAAATTCGGATAATTTTGTTTGCGTACAAAAAAGCCTCACAACGAGAGGGTTGGAACAAATTGGCATTTCATGTGCACTTTCAAATCCTTTACATGGTGTGAAAAATAACTTTAAATCAAATTTGTTCAACTAGGAATCCTACGCTAAAGCTTTAATTATACACTAAAGTTTAGCAGAAATTCGGATAATTTTGTTTGCGTACAAAAAAGCCTCACAACGAGAGGGTTGGAACGAATTGGCATTTCATGTGCACTTTCAAATCCTTTACATGATGTGAAAAATAACTTTAAATCAAATTTGTTCAACTGGGAATCCTACACTAAAGCTTTAATTATACTCTAAAATTTAACAGAAATTCGGATAATTTTGTTTGCGTACAAAAAAGCCTCACAACGAGAGGGTTGGAACAAATTGGCATTTCATGTGTACTTTCAAATCCTTTACATGGTGTGAAAAATAACTTTAAATCAAATTTATTTAAGTAGGAATCATACATTAAAGCTTTATCCTTGCTACCACCAGAAGAAAGTTTCCCTTAATGTGAGGAATGCCTTGCTAAGACATAATTTTTATCACTTGCCATATTTATTGCCATCTAAGCAACCTTTATTGCATTTTCTCTTTTTATTTTCAACTGCCAGTATAAGAAAATCTTTAGCTAAAAATCGTAAAAGTTAGCAGCTGTGGTAATAAGTAAACAAAACAGAGCTTGAGTTATTTTTTTTTAATTAAAATACATCTACGTGTATAAGTTGTTAAAAAAATAAAAAAACAGCTTCTGCTCGTTTTGTGATGCAGGAAAGTTTCGTAATTCTTACTTTTCATTAGATTCTAAAAATACAATGCACAGTTTCTGTTTAATATTATTTTTGTTAGCATTTCCGTTTTTCACTACAGCAAATGTATAAAAACGACTTTGAAAGCTAATTTATCGATCAAGAGAAATGTTGTATGATATACCTTATTCACAAAAATTTTCTTAGTTGCTTTTCTTGAATAGACTAGTGACAAATTACAAAATTAGTCAACAACTTTTAATTTTTAATAAAAAAAGGTATGCTATGAAGTTTCACTGAAATAGTTATTCTGTGAAAAGTAACGCCTACTTTCTATCCTTCCTCGCACTTTAAATTTGATTGATCGTGCTCTAAACACTCTTTTTTTTTTTGATTTTTTATGACGTACATATTTANTTTTTTTTTTTTATGACGTAGATATTTTTAACATCAGTTGTATGCTTAAAGCGCTTTTTTTAACCCCTTAGAGGACAAAATGGGAAGTTGAGCTTTCTTTATTGTAGATGACATTAAAAGCAAAGTGACTCTTAAATAATGAATCAATGGCTCTTATAGAGCTTAAGCCTACATCAACAATCACCTTGTCCGAGCAGCGATGGTTCAGGGAATAGAGTACTCATATCCCAAATATGTGAGTCGGGTAGAAGTACAAATCTCAGCGTTGACTGGTCAAGGCGGATTCCGCACCACAGTGCCAACGTAAACTATCCTCAGTGGCAGACGGATCATGGGTCAGAATCTCCTTGATGTCGGGTTGGTCATAGGAGGTTTTCCTCTTCATGTTACTCAAATGCGGGAAAGTCCATTAAAAAGTCCTTCAAGAAAACTAGTTTGTCTCAATGCTTGTTCTTCCAATGAAAGCACTTAGGAGATAGAGCGTTCGCCTCCCAAAGAAGTAACCCAGGTTGATATGAATTCTGCTTCCGGCAACGACAGAAGTGTTGTCGTAAAATATGCTCAGTGGCAGAATGCCGGCGGTCCTTAAAAATTTTTAGTAGTTGTAGTAAATTTAAATTAATCATAGAATATATTTCATATTTTAATTTACCACTCTGCTTAGCCATCACCTCCTACACCAGAAAGCTTTTTTTATAAGTTGTCTACGCAGTCCATTTAAAAAGTGAATCAGAGGCGCCAAGAAACCGAATTCTATTTTATAAGTACTAACTAACTAACTATTCAGATTTTCCAGAAAACTTATCCTATACAGGATATCTGTTCTTTCATCGAGAAGAAAATGTGGAGGAAGGGAAGGGAGGTGCTGTGATAAATGAAGTTATGTCTCAGTAGAGATCCCCTGGATGCGTAATGCCAAACCAAACCATAGATTATTAACTTGGCGATGGATTACGCGTAAATGTGGTGGGAGAACGAAATTACATTAACCTAAACAGTGTAATTCAATATTCTTATCTCCTCCTCGACTAGCCATGATGAATAAAAATAACTCATTAATTCTTTTTAATAGAGAATTAAAGAAGAAAATAACCTTTTTTTTGTTAGGATACTTTACGAATACACTGTATTTATATTTTATTAAACGCAATAATTTATATTTTTTAAAACGATCTAGTTTTTTGATATAACATATTTAATTTTTTTTACAAAAATTGTGTTTGTGACGAAATAAAAATAATTTATTAATGAACCAATCACAAAAAATAACGTAACATTTTAATACAATGTTTCGGTGGAACGCTATTTTGAAGAATTAATTCTATTTAACTTTTATCGTAAGAAAACATAACAAGTTTTATTTTAGTGATATTCTCTGTTAAATCAATCTTGATAGAAAAATAATGTAAACTTTTTATGAAAATTTTTTTTAGAAATTAGCAAAGACATATTATTTACTAGAAAACAAAATTAGAGTATTCAAAAATGTTATCACGCTTTAAAGTAAAAATTTCTTGCAAATGAAAAAAATCGATATTTTTAAAATTTTAAAGTTATCGGAAATTCGCTAGTGAAAAAAGAAATATGTGAACTAATTTCAAGAAGGAAAAAATGTACAAATTAAGGGATTTTTCTCCAATCTCCAATAACCTATGTCGCGTTTGTTTTATTACTAGAAGCATTTATTGTAGAAAATCTTTATTAAATTACTTTTTTTTCAATGGGATGAGATCTTAAACTTCGTGAAAAATTGATTCAATTCCTTAATATGCATAAAAGTCAGTAAATACTTCATTTATTACGAAGGTCACAGATACCTTGATACTCTTTCAATATTTGAATAATAAATGCAATTAAAAGATAATGCACATTTTCAAAAATATATTTTATTATTTACAAATATTGCGTGCAGGTTTATACGTAACATGCATACGTATCAGTTAAATGTTTTGAGTAATTAAATACATAACATAAATAAAAAATAACATAATTAAAAAAATAACACAATTAAAAAAATAACATAATTAAAAAAATAATTATCTTAAAAAACTAACATAATTAAGAAATATATAGTGAAAGATAATTTAAATTTTCTAATGCAATGTAGCACTACTTTGATTTTTTCTCACATTTTCAGAGAGATTTCTTTTTTTTCTTGAGTACTGCTCACAAACTGGTGGATGCCCAGAGGGTATCCTCTTGCTGCCCCTGGTAACTCCAACTCTTCTACGACTTACTGAAGAAGGTTGAACTTCAATTTTACCTCTGGAGGTTTTAGAAATGTGGGCTCCAACTGTACATTGAAAGGAGTCCCATGCACTCCTAGTTTTAACTACATCGATCCTTTTCTTTATACTGTTCTAATGGCATCCTCGTTGAGCCTAAAATATTGAAATAATTCTCTAAAAATTTCCAATATTAAATACCTTTAGAATTTGCAGTATATTATTAAAATCAGACAAACTAGTAAATAATCTTATTATTGTTTGTTTCAAGTTTCTCATTATCCTTAAATTAGAAAAACAGTAAAAGACATGAAAAAAAGAGATCATTTTCGTCATGAAATATTTTTAAAAGAAATTTTAAATATTTTAAATTTGCTAACATAGAAATATTACTCATAATATTTGCTCTCATAGAAACAGAATTGTTACAAAATGTCTTATTAAAAAGAAGTCGAAAATAATATGAATATCTTATTAAAGCTCACTATACTTACAGTTTAAATTAATAGATTAAAAAAACTCTTTCCAGAAACAAATACACAGGCTCATATACGTTATCGGAAATTGAAAAACTACTGTATTTAACTGTCATATGCAATTTTAAACCAAAATATTCTTATTTTTATTCGTCTAAACGGCATTTCAATCTCGAAAACTTTTAATTTAACACTAATAGCGAACCTTCCTGTTGTCAAATATTAATAATAATTATTATTATTAACAACTTTCTTAATCACAAATTTTTTATTCTCAAACTTTATACTATCCTTCATATGAAAATATCAGAAAATTTCTTTAAAAAA